TGACGGAATCTTTAGTATCGCGTTTTGCAGCTCATTACAAGATAGCCTTATTCCGATATAACAAGACGTCTCGTGAACGTCCTATGTACATTTTGTACTATGTAAGACTTTTACCCGTTATTAATGCCTGTTAGACTTTCTTATATAGGGTGAACCACGAATATGACGGAATCTTTAGTATCGCGTTTTGCAGCTCATTACAAGATAGCCTTGTTCCGATATAACAAGACGTCTCGTGAACGTCCTATGTACATTTTGTACTATGTAAGACTTTTACCCGTTATTAATGCCTGGTAGACGTTATTATATATCTGGAAAAGAATAATGAATATCAACTAATATAAAATATTGACATAGTGACATGGACATACCACGAGAAAGTGTCATACTAGATATTAATACTGTTGTTACAAGTGCAACATTCCCATTAGCATCAGAGCATACGATTGAAAATATCTTTTTATCACAAGATACACTTTAAAATTTTGTTTAAATATGTTCTTTCTTACCCACATTATTTTATATGAAGGGTTAATTATAATTAATACATTTATTAACAGTTTCAACTCCATTATTAATTTGCAATTGCCAGAAAGTATTCGAGTATCGTAATTTGTCTGTGAGCATACTATTGCAAAAATCCTATAAAATGGAATATATTTTTCTTAAAAATCGACAATAGCAAAAATAATCCATTAAGGTTAAAATATATAAGAAATATATTTAACTGATAAATGTGATAATGTGTCTTTCAACGTCAGTGAATGCAATTAATTATTGATCAATCTAATTAATTATTTTAGAAATTTCAATTTAGTCATGACAAGTACCAATCGTTGCCCGAAATGTAGGAATAGGATTCTTAAAACGCAATACACTTTAAGAATATAATTCAAAGTCGTGAATGTTGCATTTTTTCCCTGTTTTACGTCATCGAATATTCTTTATATAGTATATGTTGCACAAGCTGTTATTCTAAATGATAAAAATATATATCTTACAGACATGAAACCCAGTATAAAATGAAACCAAATTGACTGTTAATAAACCAGTAGTGGATAAGGTGAAGTAGAAAGAAAAAAATAAGTGCAGGTAATTCTTAGCAATTTTGAATTCTGCGATAAATTTCATCGATCGTTCAATGATCATGAAGCTTCGTATTACATCTGTCGTTATTGTAATTCATACACTCATTTCTGGTGCAATAACAAAACGTGGGACTCCAGAAGGTAAGATTCTTTTTTTAATTTACAAAATCTGTTTCCGTGTATACCTCGAAATAGACTGTAACCTAAGTTCCTTTTGGAATTTAGCATTCTGAAAACTTATGGGCTTTTTCAATTTTTAAATCTGCAGAACGTCAGAATTACGATATTTCATATGGTAAACCCACCAATAGTAATGTCGTATTTTCAACACCCCAAGAATGTGCCAGGGATTGTACCACTAGTAAATCACGACTTACCTGTTACTATCACTTTACCCTTGAGTGCTACACGACAATGAACAGGTATATTAATCGAAAAAAAAACAAGTTTTAAGAAAACAGGGCATTATTAAAAAAAACTCAAAAAATCATGAACCATCATAATGCTCTTGTCTACGTGCAATCGTGAATTCCCTGCAGATGTCGGCCAATTTCAAAAATTTTTATTTAATTTATGACTGTTCACAGAGCCTGTAATCTATGTAAACCAAGCAATACAAATCCGCTGGTTCACCCACCGCAGTGTCAGTGCATAGAAGGAGATGGTTACGAACGTAGTGTATTGAGTATTAATAGAATGTTACCTGGTCCAAGTATACAGGTAAGTGACAAGTAATAATAAAATAATGAATAAATTAAATTATATCGAAATTTAAAATTGTCTTTTAAAGGTCTGCCAGTACGATAGAGTAGTAGTGGACGTAGAAAATAAAACACCTGCACTTGAGGCAACAATACACTGGCATGGTATTTTTCAAGAAAAAACTCAGTACTATGACGGCGTACCGTATGTAACGCAGTGTCCTATTCATTCAGGAACTACATTTAGGTATATATTATTTAATTACAGTGACACAATGAAAAAAGATCCGTATTAACGTCGCTGTATTTATAGATATCAATTTATGGCTGCAAATGCTGGCACGTTCTTTTATCATTCCCATTCTGCTCTGCACAAAATAAATGGCCAATACGGCAGCCTTATTATAAGACAATCTGCCAGAGCTGATCCTCAATATAAACTATACGACGAAGATCTTCGAACTCATGTGATACTCGTAAGCGATTATTTCCATGAAATGGCAGAAGACAGATATCCTGGACGTATCATTAGATCACCCGGTCAGATACCTGACAATCTTCTTATCAATGGAAAAGGTCGCTGGACGGTAAGGGATGAACATTTAATTGTTTCATAGGGAAATTCTAATAATTATATATTCATTCAGAATCTAGACACTAATCAGACGACTACGAGTCAACGGGAAATTTTTCAAGTAAAACGTGGAAATAGATATCGATTTAGAATTATCAATTCCTTTAGTACAAACTGTTTGGCTGAACTTACTGTGCAAAATCATACGTTATTGTTAATTGCTCAAGATGGAGACCCAGTTGTACCAAAGCCTGTGAATTCAATAATTAGCGGATCCGGTGTGTAAAGTAATTGACTAATTTTAAAAGCTGTATTTGCTAGCATTTCTTTTATTCTCATGTACGAGGTGTGCTATGTTTTATTTACTTTCTTAGGCGAACGTGTAGACGTTGTTTTAACTGCGAATCAGACGGTTGGGTCATATTGGGTTCAATTGACAGGAGTGGGTCCATGTAATCGTGCAGAATTGAATCAGCTCGCAATTCTTCAATATAATGGAGCATCTAATGTACCTGCAACTCCTGAACCAACGTATCGTCCAGAGCAACCTGGAATTGTAATTATTTAATATTTTGTGAGATATGTAAACGTGAATTCTAATAACCTTTCTAACATACTTTGTTATACATATACAGAAATATAACCAATTAAACTTTCTCTGTAACGAAACACGACCAGAAGCAATATGTGCTAATCAGTTTCGACCAGTTATAAAGGTTGAATCAACAATACTTAAAGTAAAACCAGATTATCGTTTTATATTACCATTTGGCTTTTATAATTATGATGGCCAGGAAAATGTTCTTTACCAGCCAGGAACTTATCGTCATTTCTTAAGTAAAAATTATGTTTACTATTATCAAAGTTCTTTCAATCAATTTCTTGTAAACTAATAACAATTTTTGTGTCTTTGCAGTACCAGCTAATGGAATACCCTTTGCTAGTCATATTAATAATATCTCCAATGTATTCCCATCGTATCCACCAATCTCTCAAGGGGTAAAAAAATATTGTAATGGAAATAAATTACCTACAAATTGCACCGTACCCTGTGAATGCTCTCACATAGTGGATGTTAAACTGAATTCACTGGTTGAAGTGATATTGTACGATACATGTAAGATTTAAAAGTAGTTTACAAAGTTATTGGTTTAACGATGAAATTTATATCATGATGTATTGTGTCTAGTTGGAAATGAACTCATACATCCATTTCATCTTCATGGATATTCTTTTCACATCTTTGACATTGGAAACCTTAATACTACTGGTAAAGACAATCAAATGAAAAATGTGATAGCGGATCATGACAGGAAATTGAAGGGGCAGAAATACAAACTTCTGCCACGTAAAGATACAGTTTTGGTACCTAGTGGAGGCTACGTCATATTCCGTTTCAATGCTACAAATCCAGGTAAATCAATGCAACAGCATCAGTTTTAAGTAGATAATCAAATTCCACCATTGTGCTAAAATATTCCTTCTTATGTTCTAGGATGGTGGCTTTTCCACTGTCATTTCATTTATCATATGGTGGTAGGAATGGAGATGGTTTTCCATGTTGGAAACGATGATAATGATCTTCCACGTGTTCCAAAACATTTCCCACGCTGTTATAATTTCAAGCCAGAACCTTTTTAATTATTCACTTTTACCAACTAACGAGGCAATACCTATAAACGATTTGCAGAAAAAGAAGTTCAAAAAGTGAAAGTCCGCCAACTTGATTTATGGAGGTGATGAGTAGGGAGATTGTGAGTGGGCCGATCTTCTTGAAACCAATTTTATTTTACCGGAGTATAAAATAGATAGAGTAGATACAAAGTGAATTGAAAAATGTAAAATGTAAAATGGCGAAAATAAATTAATTGTTTGGAACAATAAAATAATTAATTAAATCAATAAAGTAAAATATTAACACTTAGAAATTTGAAATTCTGGCCAAGCATATTTTCCTAATAGCGTGCGCAAAATTCGATTTTGCGCACGGGTTTGCGTGCGCAAAGTGCCTCATTCCCGCACTGTAAACGCGTGTGCAAAATCGAATTATATGCAGCTTGTTAAGAAAATAACATTACGATACATGTGCGCATAGGTGTCTCCCGCACTCGTTTGTTGTCACCCTCGCTACGCTCGGGCGACAAACCCGACTCTTGCGGGAATCACCTACTTTGCACACTTGTATCGTAATGTACTATAGAAGTACTGGAAGTTGCCCAAAATTGTGTGCGCGCAGGACTCGGTGAGTGGGAGCAGGCGGAGAGTCGGGGGGCGCTCGAGGCAGTGCCCCGACTCGGAGCGGTCATTCTTCCTCGAGCCGGTGCCCTATTTTGGTCTCTTGGAAGCACCCCTCATATCCATTTCCAACCTTCTTCTATTTCTATATTTATTTCTTCTTTACTTCCTTATTTCTTTATATTTCATTCTTTACTTTCTGATTTATCTCTTTTCTTATTTCTTCTCTATTTTTATACCCTTATTCCTTATTTTTCAACTTTTTATTATTTATTTTTATTTTTATTGATCTGTCAGAAAGCTTGGAATATTGATGATTGATTTGATTGGCTTATTTAAAAATGTCCTCTTCCAGCGGCAACAAATATATAAAATATAATACTAAATAAATATTTGATAATATACTTTGTCATTGTTATAAGATACACATTTTATCAATGCGACTCAAATATCATATCTGGACGCTTATTGTTGCCACAACTTGGAAAATCAATTGGTACTGTCGGCATATTTTCGCGTGTCCCCACACGCATTAAAAATTGCATTCCAGGGCCGTAGATCGTAGGCGCAATTCCTGTACTTCGTGCTTCCCATAACCAATACCCTAGTAAATTCAATTATCATAATATCAAAACCAATTGAATGCAAACGTTTGTGTAATAGTGAATAGCAACTGACCACGATTATCAGTATAAAAACGTAATATTGCATATCCTTTATTCGGTACTGTAAAAGTATCCTTCATTGGAGGATCCAATAAATTTCTAAATAATTGTTGCTCATCATTCAATGCCATGATCTCCTCTTTCGATATAGGACGTTTCAGAGTCCCTAGTCCAACTATACTGACATTATAACCATGCACATGAAAAGTGTGAGATACATCTCCACCAAAACCTAGAAGAAAATAAAACATATACTATTAGAATGAAATATTACATGATATCATATCTTATTCTGTACCTTCATCGATCAAGATCACTTCAATCAACTTGTCTGGTTGAACTTCAATTATTTGAATGCACTCGCAAAATAGCGGACTTTCCTTGCAAAAATTTGAACGACCTTCTACAGAACATATTTGTTCCTCCGGCGTATTTTCTGGTTGCGACAAGATTGGGGATGTGGGATATTTGAACGTTACACCATTAATTTGTGAAATCCTTCCCCCACTCGGTAGTAAACCTGAGGAGAGTAATTTTCTCTTAATAAGCAGATATGCTAATATAATTTAATCCCATACTTAGATATGCTGGATAATATGTAAATCCATAGATATTGTATCTGTAATCCGTCATGGAATCGGTGATCTGATCAAAACTATTTAAATCGAAGGGAACATAAATTGTTTCTTCCGGTTCTTCTGCGAATAACGTATTAATAGGCTGTTTAAAATGCCTTTCGTCCAATCCTTTCATCTGTATCTTCATTTTTAAATGCTTCAGATCCATTGCACAAATAATATTTTCTGATGCCGTATTACAATCATAACCAAGGCTCACAGTGGCAATCACATCATTATCCGTTATCAAATAATCCGTGTCTTTGGTCACTTCATTAATCCTCGAATCACCATAATTCAAGTAAGCTTCATGAATTAAATGTCGACATTCCTGAAGTCCTTGTATATTTAAAAGATATCTGCCAGCTGATTGATCGGCACTGACAATCAAATCGAATCTCTCACCTGTAAAAAAATAATATAACTGAATAAAATTTATACAAATATATTGAATAATTTAGTCTCCCGTAGTAACGTGTCATGGTTCGTCATGAATAAATAAAAATTCTGGCGAAAAGCATTTTATTACCGAACAAAAAGTGTACAAAATGTAACTTAACAGTATTTCTTTAAGAGTTTACATAAAAACGTATAAACGCATAATAAGGCTGCCTTATTTTCAAGGGGAATCCGTTACATTGTACAAATATGAAATTTCAGTCAAAAGGCCTAACGTGTCAATTATTTTTCAATAATATTACACATACTAGAAAGTCGTATTAGTGAAAGCCAATATTCCATTATACGAAAATATTAAGTACAAAAGCATGTGAAGTACAAAATCATAAGGCACATTAAGCCAATGTACCATCAACAAATATATGATCCTCATCATCTCTTTCCACATTAGAGCAACATAAATTGACACGAGAACATCTGTCGTTTATGACGTCGCATTGAAAATCCATTTCGAAGGCGTCTATCAACTTCGCTCTAAGGATTATTATTTTCTTATTAGATGTCATAAGAACCTTTCATTTTCCAGGAAGAATTTCCGATATTGTCACGTTTCTATTATTCTGCAGAACACAAAAGTGTAATTTCACAATATTAATGTCACAATCAATATTATTACTTATGATTTAGGATAATTGACAAAAAAGGAAACAGCTAATTAATCATTTAAAAAATATCCCAATAAGACTCTAGAATGCGGTTATGCAGTTATACTATGATTTAGTTAGTAACAACTGCATTCCTTAATTCCATGTTATGATATTTCACTAAAAATAAGTCATAGCTAATGGCGTTCTTTGTTACAATAAACGAAAATAAATGCAATTAGCACAGCCGCCTCGAACGCAAAATAATCTCTTTTAGGGAGAAAGTGTCCTGGGAAAAACGTCCCAGCATAACACAAAGTTAAAATAATTGTTCTCGTTGTACAATGACAAAAACTTCCCACGCATTTTTATATAAGAAAACATAGCAAACTTCCTGAGTTCTGAACTCACAGTAAAGTTTACTGAGTATAAATAATGTTGTATCATATCACTTAAGCTACGTGGAGATTTTTGTGCAAAATTAATCCACAGCTTTATACTGCTATATGAAATTGAAATACATGTAAAAATGAAATGCAAAGATATTAGAGTAAATAAATTTTGCGCCTGATTATATCTTAATATTCAATACTAAAAACTCTATATTGTACATAATTTATCACATACTCGGACAACTTTTTCTAATAAAAGGTATCTTCTGCGCTTGTATTTTTATCGTCTCACGGAACTATTTGAAGAGTAAAAAAAATATTTTATTTTACTACTTTATGTACAATATTAGTGAGAAAGTAATAAAATCCGGATGATATCGTTCATTGAAAATTTCATATAAATTGAGATAGGCCAATTTACAAATTGACAATCGATTTATCCTATGAGAATCTTTAATATCGGTTAATTATTTTTTCATCGTTCGTTCTGTTGATTGACTCTAGAATCTAGAGAAAATTAATCTACGACTTCACCTCACCGGACGCATTTAAGTTTTACCCACATAGTGAGTACATCGAAAAACAAAAACGTCACATGGAAAGTAACAGCGAAGCGCGGGAACCAGCTCGCATAACAATATACCATATGTTTCAATAATTGTCTTAAGAAATATGCATACTTTATACATGTATACTATTGCGAGTTTAACGTAAGCACGCGGTACGTACAAAAAATAAAAAAAATACAGGTGTATTCCTTGACGTTTCCTATACCTATATATACAGAATTGAAACCAAACTATCTTAAGGGATCATCAGAGTGTGACCGCCCGAAAAATAGCCGATTTTCGCGATTTTTTTTTAGGTGCATGGAATAAGGTAATCGGTCTAATTTTTTTTTTACAAATTGAAGCACCTATGAAATATACAAGTATTTCGTAAAAAAAAAAATAGGAAGATTTTGAAAAAAAAGAAAAAAGCTTCCATAGCAAATGCGGTTATGCAGTTATACTATGATTTAGTTAGTAACAACTGCATTCCTTAATTCCATGTTATGATATTTCACTAAAAATAAGTCATAGCTAATGGCGTTCTTTGTTACAATAAACGAAAATAAATGCAATTAGCACAGCCGCCTCGAACGCAAAATAATCTCTTTTAGGGAGAAAGTGTCCTGGGAAAAACGTCCCAGCATAACACAAAGTTAAAATAATTGTTCTCGTTGTACAATGACAAAAACTTCCCACGCATTTTTATATAAGAAAACATAGCAAACTTCCTGAGTTCTGAACTCACAGTAAAGTTTACTGAGTATAAATAATGTTGTATCATATCACTTAAGCTACGTGGAGATTTTTGTGCAAAATTAATCCACAGCTTTATACTGCTATATGAAATTGAAATACATGTAAAAATGAAATGCAAAGATATTAGAGTAAATAAATTTTGCGCCTGATTATATCTTAATATTCAATACTAAAAACTCTATATTGTACATAATTTATCACATACTCGGACAACTTTTTCTAATAAAAGGTATCTTCTGCGCTTGTATTTTTATCGTCTCACGGAACTATTTGAAGAGTAAAAAAAATATTTTATTTTACTACTTTATGTACAATATTAGTGAGAAAGTAATAAAATCCGGATGATATCGTTCATTGAAAATTTCATATAAATTGAGATAGGCCAATTTACAAATTGACAATCGATTTATCCTATGAGAATCTTTAATATCGGTTAATTATTTTTTCATCGTTCGTTCTGTTGATTGACTCTAGAATCTAGAGAAAATTAATCTACGACTTCACCTCACCGGACGCATTTAAGTTTTACCCACATAGTGAGTACATCGAAAAACAAAAACGTCACATGGAAAGTAACAGCGAAGCGCGGGAACCAGCTCGCATAACAATATACCATATGTTTCAATAATTGTCTTAAGAAATATGCATACTTTATACATGTATACTATTGCGAGTTTAACGTAAGCACGCGGTACGTACAAAAAATAAAAAAAATACAGGTGTATTCCTTGACGTTTCCTATACCTATATATACAGAATTGAAACCAAACTATCTTAAGGGATCATCAGAGTGTGACCGCCCGAAAAATAGCCGATTTTCGCGATTTTTTTTTAGGTGCATGGAATAAGGTAATCGGTCTAATTTTTTTTTTACAAATTGAAGCACCTATGAAATATACAAGTATTTCGTAAAAAAAAAAATAGGAAGATTTTGAAAAAAAAGAAAAAAGCTTCCATAGCAAAATAAGAAATGACGTGAAGAATGTTCTGTTAAAATTTCAAATGGATAGCTTGAAATTTCTTTCTCTGAGAGTGGACACCGTTTTGAAAAACACCATTCCGAGAAAAACGCGTTTAAAGTTCGGAGTGCGCCAGGTCTGACCGTCCAATGTCTTCTTCTAAGAAAGGCTGTAGCGAGCGAATTAATTCGAATTTCGACATAAAAATTGGACAGAATGTTTATAACCGTGTATACTATCAGATAATGAAAAAAAAAAATCGATGTTTTGAAAATTTTACACTGTAATGATCCCTTAAGAAAAATATAACTGGGCACAGTGAAACTTGGTTTCATATTAAAAAAAAATCATACTTCAGACCCATATCCATAGTCCGTCCTTGAGACAAAGCATGATCTTAAGACTGTAGACACACATTCTTTAAGACATGGTACAGGAGGACTCAAGATGCTCCTTAAGAGAAAGCATTGACTACGAATACAAGTATTAGGTCCTACAATTTTCCAATTCTTTTTGTTCTCTATTAGAATAAGACACCTTCGTACATATTGTAGGACTCATATTGCGAGATTTTAATGTCCTAGTATATTTGTCTTTTTAATATTTTTATGTATTAACGGCGTGTCTGAGCGTATACACCAATTTCAGCCTCGAAAAGGATTTGGTTGATTCGCAATTTAGCAACTGATCTCGAATAAGAGTCTGGAATTTCTGCAAGCTGAACTGCGATGCTTTCACCAAACTTAAGAAATTCTTCCTTCGTTTTTTTACGTTCTCGCTGATTACGCGAACACTCATCCTCACAGTTATCCTCGTCATGTATTGGATTGTTTGAATACTCTGTCAAAGAATCGGTATATCTCTGAATAGCTTTCAAACTTGACAAGGATGATTCTTCAGCATCTTCGCTCAAAGATGCATTTGGGGAACCTGTTGTGAAGCCAATTGCTTCTTCCTCATCCTTATAGTGCATGAATGTTATGCTTTCTGGATCTATATCACTGACGATATATTCTTCTTGGAGCTTCGACTGTTCCTCAGCTTTCTATGAGAAGAACAAGATGTAAGTAATTTTCTTGATATAACTAAAACCAAGTTAAAAAAATACATGTAACTTTTTAATAATATATACAGTCTATAAAAATTCTATTAGATTACTTTCATAATGTTTGACATCTGACATCAAGATACACGTACTAAGAATTACAATGTGCACCAGGAAATAAAAATATATAATATGCAGTGTCAAGTACATTTATATAATTTTAAGAGTATTATTATGCTTTCTAAGAATGCCAGAAAAACAGAAGATGTTGCGCGAATTGCCTAATAAGCGAAGATGGCAGTAAAACTATAAGAGTACGGTGTTTCAACGTTCGTACCTTTTTTCTTTTACTATAACGTCTCGTTCCAAATTGAAGAAATTGCATAGCTTTGAAAGCGAACCATTTAGAAACATAAACGTCATCTGGTCCAGCTGCAGCATCCTTGCTATTTTGTATCTTATGCACTTCGCGCGAATATTGACATTTTAAATTCGTTACTTTCTTCTCAATTTCAAGTGTGTTACAACCCAGGGCATCAGCAAGTTCTTGTATAGCTCGTTTCCTTTTAGTACGATCTCTATAGCCTCTTGCATTCCAATCCCAAAGCACACGACGTTGTTGATATTCTCGTAATAGATCAAGAGTCTTCTCTCTGGTCCATTCCATAATCTCTGTTGTTGTTCTGCAAGATCTTGATGACTTTTTTCCAAGGTTCCTGGCTGTAGATACACACGAACTTCCAGTACGTGCGTAGAGAATATTTTTTCTTTTTAAGTAATATTCACTAATTCATACTGAGACGCCGCGACGCCAACAAACCAAGCACGCGTTTTAACGATTTTTCGCGAGACGCTCCGAGCTTCTCTTCCTTTCTTTATTTCCTATTGCAGAAATCCAAGGGTCCGAGGATATCCGAGTACGCACGAACTCACTTCGGCACTTTGAATCCCCACTTTGAGTTTCGCGCCACAATCACCATTGGATACTTATAAATTACGAGCATTTTTATTGTAAAAAATACAATAACAAATGATTCAGATTTTTAGAATGATTATCAAAATGATAATCAATTCTATCGTATAAAGTGATTTTGATTTTCTGAAACATTTACATCCAGTTTGTTTTACTTTACTAGTCTGGAACATCTACAAGTTTTTCTTATAAAAATAAATATCTAATTTGTACATAATTTTTCAATTACCTGGAAAAATAATTATATGAGTTCCTGTCATAGTAGGTTCAACCATATTACCATCAACAGTTAATACTTTGAGTCTGTGTCTAGCCAGTGTAACAGAAACTGGGCAGTGGAATACATTAGCATTTATAAAACGCAACATATAGTTATTCCCATTCTCCACAAATAATTCTAGATTCCCAGTCTGTAATTAATCAAAAGAAAATTGTTTATGATCACTAAATAATACCACATTAACATTAAACATATTTTATTATTATACTTGTCCATTAAGAAGTAATTTTTCTGCAGTTGGATATGTATATGAAAGTCCAGTCATTGGAACTGATGATTTTGATGCTACAAGAAGAGTCCATTCCTTCTTTGGATCATTTCTTGCCTCTCGTACTATTAATGATCCATATAAACCATCACCTTGCTGCGTAACTATTAGAATTTCACACAGCAATTACAATTACACTCACAACCATTCATTATTAATTATACAATTTTATTATTCTTATCACATACCTAAATGTGCACTATAAAAATAAGTTCCAGCTGTATCAGCCTTCATTTCATATCGATAAGCACCGAATGGGAATATCGGACATTGAGATACCATAGAAACCCCATCCATATGACTAGATCCTTGTTGCCTAATACCATACCAATGGAAAGACAATTCGGCATTAGCTAATTTATTATAAACAAATACTTCTATTGTATCTCCCTGGCATACCTACAACGATAAGCACATTGCAATTAGAAATCAGAATAATAAAATTCATATAAAAGTGAACTACCTCTATGGAAGGTCCAGGGCTTGTACCATTAATTAACAATAAATGTCTCAAGCCATAATTCTCTGAGCATATTGTATTATTACCATTGCACCGTCTATAAAATAGATTAACATAAAATTAACGATGGTTTGCAGTTTTTCATCCTATATAACGTCACGCATCGCATAACCCAGAGATTAATCTACCTAGTTAATCTGATTCCCTATTTAAACACAGTATCGTTAAGTTCAGTTATATAATTTGAAGAACAACATTTGTATGCAAAAGTTAACATGCAGTACCGTATAGTATACAGGTTGTTACAATAACCTGAGGCTACAATTACTATATAAAAGGCGCGAGGAACTTGACCGAGAAACAATCCAGAGTTCTTTCTGCTCGAGAAAAGAGTTCTCAAGCGTTACTAGTAAATGGTAAATCTATGTTATAGCATAGATATCTTACACGTACTCCCGCAAGAAATGATCATTGTATAAAAAGTTACAGAACCTGTTGAGGAATTTAAAATTTCTTGATGCACAACACATGTATATATGTATATGCATGCGTTTACCGTTAGAAGATCCGATTTAGCCTTTTACATACATAAATAACCATTACAATATACAATCTGTTCGCAATTCATATTAATTATGTAGAAATAGATAATGAGATATATGATTTATTGATAAGTATTATTAGATCCGGTGATCTATGTTTGTTTTTTATGCGATAAAATGATTTATCGATCTTATTGCTACATGTAGATATATTTATTTCGTGTTAATTTTATTCATGAATCTTTCCTTTTTTCCTGATATAATTTCATCTGTTACCTGATGATCCCGGACGGCAATTCGCTCACGTAGAAATTATAACTGCATTTTTTCGTGACCCCGCCGATTTCACAGTATCGAGAACATTCGTGGCCCTGACCTGATTAGAGAAATTGAAGATTTCATTATTTCTCGTGGAGCAGTGATGCTGGAAGGAATTATCATGCTTTCTTGCAAAGTAATATCGGCACAGGTAGTAATAATTTATATGTAACAAGGAATACGGAAATGAAATTATTTACTTTCTCAAGATTAAACGGTGCTCGTAATACTAGGTAAAATAAATTTGTAGAAAGTTTCGTAAAATAATTGAAATCACTTACTGAGAGTCTTCGAAGACGATGCGATAATTAAAATTATCAGGTTGATGCTGATTACAATTTTCATGATTGCTGGTTAATTATAACATCTTTTTTATTCACAAAATAAATATTCAAATATGTAATGGTGTGCACTGTTGAAAATATTGTTTAGAATTTTTTTATATTAATGTCAATCACAGTTTAATCACGATATTTAAATTAAACATTATATCAATTAACGGTCACTTTAATTACGAGTTTCCGACTCTTCAGAGCGGGAAAACTCGTCCACCGCGCGTCACGTTTGGACGAAGACTCAAAAGACTCCGGTTGAGTAGGTGAAAGCAGGCTTCCGCCAACCTGACTGATTCTTCTTACATAAGGCATTATTACACGTGTACTTGAAAAACAATTTAGATACCACTACATATGTGAAAAATCTTATGTAATTTGTATCATTGTTACTGATAAGTAACAATAGAACTTATGCACTTATAAATATGTGTAATACTAAGAAAACTGCTTGAAGGTTTACAAAAAAATTTCATTCAGGTAAATTAACAATAGTTAAGAAAGGGTAATCTACGTAAATTTATGTGATCTAGATAGACAGATTAGCTTTATAACATTGTAAACTACATAAGGGTATGCCTGTCTTCGAACAAGAGTATTTCTTAGGATTACGACAGTTTTCAATACCACAGAGAGTGACTGGTGGTGGTTGACATCTGTTAAATGAAATAAAAGATCTAGTATTTATTCTGTCCTTAGGCAATAATAAGATAATATTGACTTACTCCTTAGCAGGATGCAGTGGGAATTCTTCACCAGGTGGCAAAGAGATTGAACTTCCTTCAATTGTGAGACGATATGTGACTAGAGGAACTTGTCTTCTGGATGGTTTTCCTTTACTAATAATCTTTGAAGCTTTGGATTCTTGCTTCTTCAATAATCTCTCCATGGTTTTTTTCTGTTCAGAATAGATAGACAACAAAGTCAGTGTATGGTCGACATTTCATTCTTTTCAAAAGTGACCTAATTTTTTACTGTACCTTGTCCTTCTCTCTTTTCTCATCAGCCAACTGCTTTCTCTTTAATGATTTTAAAGCAGCTTTTTGAATGGCTTCTGCTGTCATTACTTTTTCTTTATATCCTGATGGCAAAGACATTAATTGCTCTACACCAGGATTTGGTTCAGTATCAGTTTTTCTCTCAAACATTGCTCTTTGCCGGGCAGTCATTAATTTAGGATCTTTTGGTTTGATCTTCTTTAATTCATCATCGACCTAAAATAAAGCATGTGTAAAGCAAACGAAAAGTTCACAGTATCTAAAACTATTATTTTAAATGAGTTTAATTACCTCTTCCAATTTTCCGGATTCGATAGCATCGAGCCATCGTTCCTCTTCGCTACTTGTGCCACTATCCTTACTTTTGCCTGTTTTATTAATTTTTTTCTTAGACACTGCTTTAGGCGACGTAGCTGTACTCGGTCCTGCTGCCCCCAAAGTAGTTACTTTAACCATTTTCTCCGGTTTCTTCTCCAAGCTAAAAACAAAAACTTGTTATTAATAACATAAGCGATTGCATAATAAAATTATTACTCTAAAACCACTACCTCTTGTCCTCTTCTTTCTTTAAGCGAACTTTAAAAACTTTCTTGCGATCAACTTCGGCGACTACATCAGCGAAACCATCACTGTCGTCATGTACAATCTTCTTCTTCTTGTGTTTCTTATGTTTGTGCTTTTTGTGCCTTTTCTGCGGTGACACATCATTCATATCTGTAAAAAAAAAAAAAAAAATAATTCTTACATTTGCAGAAGTAAAAAGCATTCTTCGAAATTCCATATCTAATAACTAATTCAAATTTAAATACATTACTACAACGCCACGTCACGTTCATGCTCCGAACTAAATTTCAGTACGCGTCGATAAACTATGTACGAGTTATGCATCTCACACATGCATATTCCATTCTCTAAAACAAATCATTAACCCCGCCAATCACCATCCAAGCATAAACGCATCATTATCCAGAATCTATCGAATAAAACCAAAATAGATTGAGAGAAAGAATGAAGTAACAAGTACATACCAATATTTACATCCTCGTCGGAGCTTCCTTCCTTTGATTTTCCCATTTGTCAGCAACTGACACAATCTTCAACAAAAATGTCAGAATAGAATGAGCCTCCAGCGCCCTAAAACATTATAGATGGGGCAACGAGCGCGATTGTTGAAACAAATGATTTAAAATGCCTTCATCGACATCGGCAGAAATCAAGAAACCATTTTGCATACGCACTGAATTCCCGTCACTATTCAATAATTCCAAAATTAACTATTGAAAAAAACTAACTCGTAAGGACTTTCGAAGCAGAAGGTAGTACGACAACAAAGCATTATTTATTTTCATATAATTTCATTCAATAACATCGTGATACTGATATTTTTATACTAATTCGATTACGCGGTCCAAAACACCTGAAACGAGATAATAACGTTAAATAAAATACCTGCTCCGTCCAATTTCACTGTAGAAACAACAGAGATACGTCTGACGTTAATAATAAATGTACATTTTATAAATATTAAAAAGAGATACCTATTACATTATCCAAAGAAAAAAAGATAAAAGAAAGACTTTCTAGAGCACGTACACCAAATATCTCATCTGCTATTCCTTTTTTGAGCATATTTCGAAATTGTAATATAATACCACGCCAGCTTTTACACTTAAATCGCAATAATTGTGCGTTTTTGCATACATAATATTATACGCCCGATCCGTTAAACTATTGTACAAAGTATAACAAACCAATGACTACACGTAACTTATTAAGATATACATATCTTACACGAATGCTTTCTCGAAAGTATCGATGCATCCCGATAGTACAGAACTTATGAAAAATATTTATAAAATATAATGACTCTCGGTGGCCCGCGATTTTACAGCATATTCATAAATATTACATCTCCGCTCCAATCGAAAGTATTCACATCCAACGATTAATATCACGATCAATAAACATTGATTAGCCATCGACAGGTAAAGTTCATCATATACGCTGAAAGATCACATAGAAATACCAGAGTACATTAAACACGTAGAGACGTCGTAGTTGTTTGACATTAAAGAATTTTCAAAAAGTAAAATGTCAACTTCAACATTCGATGACAGTTTCCTAAACGTTAACATGTAAATATTGTCTGGCTTTTGCTTATCAGTCAAGAAGACAGAATCTGACAACTATTTGATCCAGCTATTGGATAGAACATAGAACATAGAAGAGAGGCGATTAGGCTCACGTAAAATAAATAAATCATCAACGCAGAGCAGACTATTGGAATATTATGAATTTTACATCAGTAAAATTATGGAAGACGAATTAACAGAAGAGGCCCGTGTACCCGTTAATGATTTTACGTCCGTTTTCTTCGACGCGATTCAATGCATAAACTTGGTTTAACTGTGCTATTAGCCAATCACATACTTGCATTCTGGAGATAAACGGAGTTCATGCATTGAACCGCGTCGAAGAAAACGAGCTTCAGACATCGAGTCATCTGAGCAGATGAATTGTTAGACATTAGACGAACAGTAGACACTAATAATAATAATTATTATTACACATATAATAAAAATACGTGTCTTTAGATTAATTAAGGATCCACGATGTACACTTATGAATCTACATATTTTTCGGTCTAATTATTAAACTTCCCAACGCTTTATCTAATGATCGCCATTGATTGAAAATGACGATTGACAATTTTGGCACTTACGCTAGTCCTTGCATCGAATTATTATCTTAACGGTTGGATATTTCTTTCATCATAGTTTGTCATTGGGTTCTGACACCAACTACAATTATTAAACATATATTCGAATACAGCAATGATGATAGTTAAGGTCATTAATTTTGACATAGACAAGAAAACACTCTTGACGGAGGAGTCACGTGTAGCTAATGATAAAAATGGTATCACTGATACGTGGATAATATTTTCAGATCACAAACGGCATTAATGATCTAGGACCATTCTGAATGGGAGAAACGTTAGCAGGTGGACGTGACATTTATATGACAGATTTTTATGTAACATTGAAAATATTTTTTTTCTTGGAACAGCTCAAAAAACGTCTATCACGCAGATTTCTAAGGAGCTGGAATTGTGCCATTATTGTCCAGCATTGATAAAATACTTTGACACTAATAACGGTCCTTCCTTTTTTTTTTTTTAATTATTACCAGTCATAAACACCGAATCGGAGAGTATCATTAACATAGTAATTGATACGGTGACTTTGAAAAATGTTGGTCATCGCATTGATATGATAAATCGTAATATCCTCCATTAATCGGATAGAAGTAGTTCTATAGTTTGCAATTGAGAAGTATGAGATTTCTAAACTCATCATCATCATCATTATCATCATTGTCGCATTAAAATGATTACCCTGTATTCTAGGTCTCGACTGCAGGATGTATACGAGAGCAAAGAATTTTACAATGTTCGCGCCTGGTTTTTTTTCTTCGATTAATGATTATATGATATATTACAAATATATGTCGTACGTCTGTACGTTTATAAAAATAGACGAGACATTAAAAAGGACTCTGTATAATTTTTTACGCTCTGTCGCACGGACGCAGTATTCTTGATTATTGGGCGCAAAATCAAGAATAGAATGGAATTTTAACGAGGATGCCAGGCCGTCAACTTTCTCATGATGAAATGAGGATTAAGCGATTAACGTTACCTATCTTCGAAAAATCATTAATGTTGATAATATCAGAAATCGGTGGGTTGTTTGCGTTTGTGTGTTTGTGTGCTTAGAGACAATAAAAAGTAAATGTTATCGTTTACATCTGGAATTAATCCCATCTATATTAATTACAATTTCGATTTAAAAGCCGCGACGTCTTATAACGTTTGCTAAACCGTAAGTTTTATCTCTTATTATAAATAAATTTGCATGACTTCGTTCGTTCCGGCTTCGAAATAATTTTATGTATATATATAGTGTATCCTCATAAATTATGGTGTATATTATCACATAAAGTTGGCCCTATTCTCTTAGAATGACTCAGGAGCAATAATCATGATTGTCCTTAGGAATGTGTGATATTATATTTTGAATTTTAGAGTTTTTGAGATTTGGATTTACGTGGTTGGTTATTCTTGCTGGGACAAATTGCATTCTTATCAAAGACAGCCTTCTGTTTGATTCTATCACAAGGGTTATTGGAAAATTTAATTTAATAATGGATCGGAGAGGTTGCTGAATTAATTGTTAACTCTTAAATATTTGACTAGTGAGTCGTCAGAGTCAATTAATGAGTCATTTATTGATGACAAGTTTTTATACTGTTTTTTTTTTTTAAATGCATTTGGTTCCCAACAAGAATACATTCGATTCAAAGAAATAATTACTGCCTTTTCTTGATATTAAATACTTGGATACTGCGTCGCAAAACAATTGCAAATGTTTGTGCGGAAAGAAGTTAAATACAAAAATATAAATAGGTGCTTTGCGTCTCGGTGAGCAACTTTGTATTCAAAAGTTTTTAAACTGCGTAATTGAATTAAAAAAAAAGTTTAGATCAAGTTTCATACGTATGGTCCCTCTTAATAATAGTCATTAAGCTTAAAACTTGTAAAGAAAATTCAAAGCTTATGAAATTCTTGTAAGAAACCTTCAAAATAAGACTCTTGAAGTATCCTAAAATGCAGAGTGAATAAAAACCTCAAAACTTGCATAGTAATATTGTCATCATCGACAGAATCGTACAAGAAAATTAATAAACTAATTACTACAAGTAGCTAATAAGTTTCTCAACACACACAACAAAACCAAATCAGACTGCTACTGCTCTCTCATAAATTTCTCATTCCATATGTAAATCAATGACAGTAAACTCCACGCCATCCCTTAAGCAGTTCAATAAAATTGTCAATAGTATTCGAATCGATAAGTAAAAATAACAACCACGTAGATCGTCAGGATTTATTGAAGAAACGGATTAAAACTGTAAGAAGTAACAATATCAACAAGAACGATGTATAAATAATTTAACCGCTAGTAAACGCAGTCCCAGTCATGTTTAAAAGACAAAAAGAAAGTAAATGAAGAAAGAAATATAAGAACATGAATTATGAGCGGTATTCGCACGCCATTTCTAAATCGCGAATTTAAGAGACTGCTTAAAAGTTGTTATAGAGTATGAGATGTTGAAGTTAAAATGACTGCATGAGTCAAGTACAGAATGGCAACTTCAATCTCAATCTATATCGCTGTATAGACGCTGCTGCACCGTCGTTTGGCACATAAACCGAACATTATGCACATTTATTTGTCCAATGACAATACGTTCTATGAGTTTTCTTATCTTAATGACAATTAACGAACGAGGAAATGAGATAAAACTTTTTTTAAATATTCACCAACCACAAGACTACTTAATCGCGACCAATGAACTAAAGCGGGACGAATTTGTCATTCTGTTTCCTGGCAAATTAGCCAAGATCGCGTTTTAAATGTGTAAAGGGTGAATAGGACAGATTGTTATTTTTACGAAGGACAATGCCAGGACGCATTTATCAATTTACACGCGCGACCTATTGCCACAATTTAGTTTTCCAAGTTTCACGCAACACCAGGCACGGTTGAGGTTCTTCATGAGAAACTCCGTTGCGTTGTACTATTTCATGTTGGCGCGAGTTTTTAAGGAACGTACCACGCTAAGGATTGCTGGATGGGGAGGACTGATGAGAGCCAGGGTGGGTCAGTTGGTATTTTGTTTGTTGGAGCGAAGGCGTGCCAAACCCGAACGCTCACCCTCTTCTTCATCAGATGTACATGGTGGTCCACCTCCAACGGCACCTCTCGATGACGTCGCTTGCATCAGTTCCTGATCCGGACCATTGCGATGCTCGTACAAGAGGATGTTAAGAGTTTCCTCATAAATCCTAGCCTCTGGGAACTCCACCTGAATATAAGAATTTTATATTATTTTTTTTAATCGATAATACTTTGATATAAACCTATATTATTCAGGATTATTTTAAATTCTTCACCTTTGTGTGCTTCTTATCAGTTGCGTAAACAATCGAATGACAGCAAACTTCTGCTATCTTACGACCATGACCATAAAATGTCCAGCAGCATATTTCACTTGAGCCAATGACATCTTTGATAAATAGGACTCTACCACTGAAACGAAGGGACATCTTGTCGAACAGTTCAATGTTCTTTAACAGATTGTCATCTGAAGTACTGAAAGTATAAGTGCACAGGCGATGCTTTAGTCTTCTGTGAACAGTGCACATATACACCTAATATAGAATTGCAAATAATACCTTGTGTACGAATATTTGTTATTGTGCCTATTAATGAGCAGCTTTACTACAGGCTTAGTTGTATTACTAATGAGCAACTGCTCTTCTCTTTGTGAGGTGATAAGCGGCACCCTACATATTGGCTCTGGTTCGCGCTCCTTCTTAAGGAGCGCCTGTTCACACGATTCAGCCAGCTCACTAATGCAATAATACTTTGCCTCGGCAAGCAACTCTGCCATCTCGTTGACACTCTCTGGTAACGGGACGGATCCGTCTCGTAGGAAATTTAAAATTGTGCCAAAGTGTTTTCCACAGCGATCAATCAATATCCAACCTGTAATAAAACAGTAACATTGCCATTTCACTCCATCAACAATTATTTGTCTACAAAGAACCCTAAGGCATGTTGCAAATATAACGATAACTAGATCATTCCCTAAAATTTGGCATTTGCATAAGAACAATTTCTCACCTTCGGAATCAGTGAGAACTTCCATTCGACCACTGAACATAGCACGTAACATTGTATCATGTTTTCGTAAAGTGCCTATGGTAGTATAATGGAGTGAACCACCGATATTCAGCTTGACATATTCAGATGGATATTTGATGACGGTCTTGTGATCCCCGGACATAACGAAAACGTTAATGAGAAATGCCGAGATTGATGACGATGGCGATGATGGCGATGACGGTGATGATGATGATGATGACGGAATATCGATTTTATCAAGTGTCAAACTCAACATTTAACACATGAGCAACGAGAACGTTGCGGCACTCTTTTGATTTGGCAACACGACACTTGTAACTAGCGTTAACGAGTCTAACTTCTTACGTCTCGTTGATAAGCGTCATTTTCACGAAATTTTATCAAAACAAAGTAGAGCACGATTCGTCTATGTTTTATCCTAGCTTTTATACGACTCGGCTCGAGAAGAACACTCTACTATACCCCATATTGGCAAGAGCATCGAGGTAACACTGTGCATGCGCAGTACTTGCGTCGCCGCCGTTTGTTTAACAAAATGGCCGACTCCCTAGCGAAGTACGGTCTCTACGTAGACGATCTTGGAAAGATATGTGTCCTGGAGCCAGAAGTGTCCAATCAGACAAATAAACTTAAGGAGGAATGTAAAAATTTTGTTTCCAGTAAGTGTCGCGTTAATATGCTTCGTGCTCTATATGATATACAGATTTATGTCATCGTCTGACAGCAGAATACAATGCACTTTCATCGTTTCAACTCTGTCTGTTGCATATATTTATTTTATTTTTTATTGCACTTACCTCCTTGTCTATCACGGTACCTCTTTCTTCCCTTTTTCGGCTGTTATTATTTCGAACCCATACGAATCATTCGAAAAGATAAGCGGATGCCCCTACTTTTCCTGACAGAAATGCACACACTGCCCTCTGTATGCTTTCTGCACCGATTCGGTACTTTGCGCACAGTTTGTCCCACATAAGATCATTTGCAAATTGTCTATTCAATAATGTTTCACTTGGATATTCAATTCGCATGAACATGTTTTAACCGTATAATATTATGCGAATCGCAATCCAAGTTTGGAATTGTTTTTCAATCGTGACTTTTGCCTGTATGCATTTCTAAGCTAAAATTTTATTTACGTTTACCAAGCACGGCAATGTTCAACATTTAGACACGATGGAAATTCTGTTGCTAGCTGCGATAAATTTTCTCATTGATCGATGATTCTATCCATTTACAGAGATCAGCGAGTTTCAAAACAACTCTGATGAATTCATTCGAATCGTGGATACCTTGGCGACCGAGGTCGAGAAAGAGAAAATGAGAACGATAGGTGCCCGCAATCTTTTACGTTCGGTAGCCAAGCAGAGAGACTCGCAAAAACAGCAAATACAGGTAGACATATTTGGTAATTTTATCAAGTATCTCCAGCATTGAAAGAAAGACCGAAATGGTACAATGATTCTTTTTTAATTTTATAGGCGCTGATTATTGAGAAGTCTACAGAACTGGAGAGACTTAGAGTACAGTATGATTCTTTAAAAAGAATTGAAATGGAGCAGCTGGAAACTATTGATCATCTAACGTCAAATTAATTAGAGATTGAAGTTTGATAAAAACTTTGAGAGAACTCGTACTTTTGACTGAGTAATACAAGATATTTTTGTCATATGCATATATAGGACTGTGGTTATAATGAAATACACAATTTGTCACTTTAGTTTACATAAATAAATACATATTAAATACAGGAAATTATACAAGATAAATCAAGAGCAGATAATGTAGTATTGCGATTGGAATAATACATATATTATAAAACAGGATAGATATCGCGCATAAAATCATGGAAATATTTTTACTAAAAATTCAATAATTGATACTGGCTGTCGCTATTTCATTTAACGTGATATATCATAAGAGTAATAGAAATAACGTAAAATTCCACGACCCTTGAACTTGAAAGGCACATTAGTTTTTATTCATTTTCTTTCATACTTCAGCCATTACTTCATCATGTTTAAACTTAATTACCTACAAATTACCAGCGCGGACTAACACGAGATAATTAAACTAACTGTTTTACGAATTCGAGCAAGAATAATATATTCCCTGAATGAATTTATCTGTTACAATCATATACATATCAATTCATCGAAAGTAGATCGATTAAGGGTAACGATAGATCACTAAGATGTGTTAGAAACAATAAAAATAAGTTCTATAATATAAAAATTAACGTGCTAATTATAATGAGAACCGATTTGTCCAGGGAAATAGTAACGTTTTTTTTTTCTGTCATATTAAAAACAAAACTCAATTACTCATTCTGTCTTTTTATGTTATCATTGTAAGCTCTGAAATTTTTAATTATAATATTACCAAATACATAACACTTTTGTCACCACCTGTACGAAACAGTATTTTTACATTCTGCACAATTACGCATCCTGCAGAGGTTGCGCCAATGAAATAGATAATGTGACGAGCAAATGATATGGTATCGCCAGAGATATGCCAGGCAAATTGTAAAAGTTTTTCGGAAATTTCCTTATCGTGCCACCGCTGTTCTGTGGAATTTCGTTTTGTTGTTAATTTTTTTTTTTTTTTAAATTACTAATTAACGCACTGCCTCAGATTGTGTGCTGTGCTTTGCTGGTTTCTATTTGTTTCCGTTGTTATTGTGTAATGTTAATCGAAGCTAACGTACTGTACGCTATTTATGTTTTGTGACAAAATTTATGTGTACCTTAATTTCAATTATATAGGAATATCCAGTTGAGACTCACCAATTAGATTTTATAGCCGTCATGTGACTAGTTTGAACAAGCACCATTCGGCAATATTAGATAATCAAATGCTAGTTAAATTTTCCAATATTTATTAGCTAATCGCGCAAGCGAAGTACGCGATTCACGTGAAATATTTGCGTCTGTGCGTAAGAGAAAGACAAACATAGTTTGCTTGAAGGGAAATTAATTGCCGCGCATAGACTGAATATTTTTTTTGAAAAGGTGTATTTATATTCTGAGGTATTGGAAAAACTAGTTTTATCATTATAAAGATATTTTCGAAAAACGCAATATTTCCCGTGACGTTATTTTTTGGTAAAATTTTGAAATACAAAGTTAGACACCTTCACATGGTAATTATTAAATCTGTTATGATGGATTCGAGCTGAATAGTTCTGTATAATATATATATATTTATATATATATATTTAAATACTACTCACACACCCATTCGTACAACCATAGTAACCAGGGATTCAAAAATAAACTTTATTTAGTAAAAATAAGAAATGGTGTCGTGTTGAATTACAAATATTAATCCTATCGTCTAAATTTATAAATATGTACAGTTACATACCTAGTACACCTGTAACCTAGAAACTCAAGGGAGCATATTTTATGTGTATATATATAATATATATATATATATAGAAATGGAGCAGATGGGATAATATCGAACCAATTTTGTTTTGTGCAGGTAATCCAATCTTACGAATAAAAAGCGCTAGCAAGCAGGGAACCTATATCTTATGTAGAGGGAAACCGTTATCTTATTTAATAAAGGGACATTGTACACAGGTGTAAAGAGAATAAAGAGTAATAAAGCAATATAATTGAAGATTGATTGAATTCATTAACCTGGTAATCACTTAGGTTTATTGTTTAATCAACGTAGATGTTGACGATGTAGCATTGGGTAAATGGTAGCGGTGTGAAGTACGAAGGTGGAAAGTGATTGGAAAAAGGGATGAAGATTCACGTAAGAAAAGATATTTAAAATCCTGTCGTACAAATATACCTCTTCCATGATTATTTTCATCGGACTACAGTGATTCATGTTTTCATTTTTTTTTTCATCACTGAAAACACTACATTCACAAAGAAAAGAAAAGAATCACACCGAAGTTCTCTCCAGTATATAATAAATGGTCGTTGTGTTTTAAAATGCAAGTGAACGCTTAAAGGAAATAACTTGAGACATATAACAAAAAATGAAAACTGACAGTAGCATCGACACTAATATTGTAGCGTGAAACTTTTATGACTCTAACAAATTATCGCGAGTTATAAAAACAAAAACAGCGTATCATCCTCATGTGCTCCGATCGATTAATCTGCTGCCAATATCCAACACTAAACACACACTCTCGTTAATCCACGTAGAAATTTATAACGCGAAGTAAACTGCACATTAACATGTCTGCAAGTTTTTTTTTGTTTTGGGTTCAGTTTCCTTTTTTTTTCAGAGAATAACAGAATTTAACATGAATTACACATTCACTTAAAGGCTCTCCGCAGAAACCAGTTTACGGTACCACACGATCACTCAGACGGACTCTTCGGTCTTCGGACGCTTGCAATCCGACGTGATAACATCTTCTGCGGTAGCATCCGCGTCGTCCTTAGAAAGACTCGGTGAAACCGGCCTCTTCTTCGTTTCTGATGTTTCGCTTGGAGCATTTGTCTGGGATGACTTGAATTGGACTATCACGGCCGTCATATTGTCGCATCCTGTACCGTCGCCAAGTGTATCCGGAGCGAGACAGTGATCGAAGAGCTATGAAGAGAAAAAAAGAATATTGTTATAAATAAAATATATAAAAACTCAAATATAAAAGAGGATTATCTTACCTCCTCGCAGATATGAGAAATGTTTTTGTAACCCTGAAGAAGACGTGTGCGCACAAACTGTATAACATCCTGACTGGACATGAAGTTCCAGATGCCATCACAAGCGAGTATCATAAATTCATCTTTTTCTGGATCTATCGTAGTATGCCTGACGTCTGGTAGTGCGGATATCATTTGTTCCTGTGCTGGTAATTCGATGTTTTGTTTGTAGGCATGGTCGCCAAGAGCTCTCGAGAGATTGAGACCTCCATTGACCCGTCCGTCGGCTGTGACTTTACCACCAGCCTTGACGATGCGCTGCATTTCCGGTTGATCTTCTGGTTTGTGGTCCAGACTTAATTCCAAAGCCTGACCGTCTCGACATAAAACACAGCGAGAATCTCCAGCATTTGCTACGTACAATTCATTTCCTTGAAGAATTGCGACTACTGCTGTACATCCACTATCCGATCCTGGCTGTAATAATAAATTATATGGTTTCGTTCACCTATATAAAAGTTGTTGAGAAAATTTTGTTCTACCTCTTCTGTCATATCCATAGTTAAATCATTTTCGTCGTTATCAACTTCCTCGTCATCATCATCGTCACTCTCATCATCCTCCTCGTCTACGTCTTCAGTATCGCCATCGCTGAAATGACAAATATTGTTACAAAAAAAGAAAATTAGTACTGTAAGAGTGTTGATTGGCACAAGTACCTCTCAGGAGCTGCGTCAAAAGTTTCATCGTTCTCATCATCAGAATCCTCATCAGACTCTTCGTCCTTTTTGTTGAGGAGATTGTGGTAAGGATCAATAAGTTGAATCCTCCTTCGACCGCTACTACTGATACGTCCTTGTTGGCCAGCCTCGCCATTTTCCAACAGAGAAGAAGAGCTGCTGGACACGTTATCGCCTCCGCCTTTACTACTATCAGCGTCTCTGAAGTCTCCCTTAGAACCACCGCCGTTCACTTCCATATCAGTTACATTTGGTTCAGCAGGGACAGACTTGCCAGTGGATACTTTCCCATTGATGTCCTCAGAACTGTCAGGCATATCAGCTGATTTAGTTGGCTCAGCATCAGCAGTTGATCCAATCGGAGGTGACGTATGAGCAACGTCACCGTTACTCGTAGTGGAATCAAGAACTTGCTCAGCCTCGCTGCTCCCGGGTGTCTCAGTCTGCTTAACTTCAACAACAGCTGATGTGGAGGAAGAAGAGGAGGATGATCCACAGGGTTGACTCGAGCTGCTTACATCCGCCTCGTTGGTGTTCCAGGAGGTAGAGGATGACGAACAGCCTGCGTCAGAGGACGAACAGCTCGCTTTGTCTCTTCCTCTTCGTCGTAAGTACGGGCTCGAGAAGCACGCGCGCTCTCCAAATTTTTCTCCCTTCAACGATTTTACCACAGGAATCGTACTGTCGGTACATGACTGATACTTCGCCATTACTTGCTCCAATGGCATCGCTGCCTCCATACATAGATTGCTAACATTTTCTTCTTCATCTGCGCGCAACGTAACGTATGAAGATAGATTTATTAAAAGTTTCGTAGCGAATTTAAGGGAATGAAAAATAGTGCTAATCGCTAATTGCGCTAGTAGAAGGATCGCACGTGCTACGCTAAATCCGAGTATAATACTGATTTTTAATATCAAAAGTAACGCACCAGACTCTTCTGGATCTTCTTTCTCTCCGTCAGCGATAGCTGTGCCTGCGATCTCCTTCAGGATATTGACGATCTCAGGTTTGGCAAGGGTAGCATCGAAACCCAGGAAGGCGTCAATAAGAGCTTGTCTGATATCACCCTTTTTGTAGGCATCGGTCTTTTTAATAAAGTCTGGGAGATTGCGTGCACAATACGTAGCCACTTCGTGTCCACCATGTCCATCGTACACAGCAAAGAGAGATACATTTTCATCGAATTCTATACAGCAGTTGTGTGCATCCTGTGGAATCATAAAAAGTGTTGAGATTCATGTGAGTTGCTTACGGGTTGCATAGTGCAAAATTGACATTGCAGCAGAATGCACTCTTTCTTCCCTTCATGTTGAGGCATAATACATAATATGAATAATGGATAAGCATTGAAAGTAATGCCTATAAAATGGAATGTGCCCTGGTACCTAAGGCATATGAGTATATATCTGAAACGTGGACACATTTTCTTTTATCGAACAAAATCATGTGCTACATTTGCATTTTATATACTGTACAGTATATACTTATTTTTTTTGTTAACTAGATTATCTATGAAGCAACATCACAAAAATAATTTCTACAATGATTTTGTAATACATATGATTTTCTATATTCTAAACAATTCTAAATATAATAAGCTTTGCTATGAATGTAAATGACTACATTCTAGTGGTTACTTGATCAGTACATTACGAAAGGCTTCATTGTTACTGAATGTTTCCAAACACTGAAATGGTATAAAGCTCAATATGCCAGCATACAAAAACCGTCAGGAAACGAACCTTTTTCTTTTACGCGAAAGGAATTCAAATTTTCCTAACAACATATATCTACCGCACAAGACTCATAGGACGTTATCGTTCTATGAACTCGTTTTCAGGGCGGTGTTTCGTGCGATTATAAGAAAAATGTACACGATAAAAGCCGCAAAGAAAAACCACGATGAAAATCATTCGAATGAAGCATTTCAGTGCACCGGCATTCAGTTGCTTCGCTAACATACAATAGTAACGGTGAACTGTGGTTCGACAGTGTTCGGCTTTCTTACCTCCTGATTGACTCGCCAGCCTTGCATGGAGCTCGCGCCGAACGCCACATTCTTGCCCACCTCGTCGCTCGACACTTTTTCGGTAATCGGCTCCGACAGGTAGGCCCCCATTTTTCGCTAAACCGGCAGCTGACACGTTGCTCCGGCGGCGTCTCTTACGATCTTGTAATTTCTCGTGTAAAATAATATAATCGCAAGCGCGGTGCACAGCCGTTAACTAGCCCCCATGACCGGTTTGGTTTTCTGTTTTCGACCCTACACTGGCGCCATCTAGCGCGCCAGTTTTAACCCGCATGCACTGTACTTTCGCGCCAATCCTTTTAACGCGATTTACACTCCATACAGTCTTGTTCACACGTGCAACAGACGCCACTTTGAAAAATAAAACGTAGCGCCTTTTTGACACTAGGATTTGTTACGGAAATACAGTATATAACATCCAAGTGCTCCCTTTTATGTTCATCAATAGACTAAATCTACAAAACTTCAACTTCTTTGGATGCATTTCTCGCGTTCCATCTCTCTACAGGTAATATTATAAAATAATTAATTTTAAAAATGTTTATATTCGTGGGGTAAACTATAAGTATATAAAAATGGTGTATTAAACAATTATTTATTGATATACTGATCATGTGAATACATTGAGAACAGAGTAATTCCTTCAACATTTAAATTTAGGCTTACTCAATCTGACAATATTTGGTGATTTTATTGATTGAATTAAAAACAAATGTTATAACAAACATCACAGAGTTTAATTTGGCACCTATCCACTATCTCAATATTGCATTTGCGACATATATTCGCGACAACGACTTTCAATTAAGTAATTGAACCGCGCACATGGAAGGCATTTGCTTATTGCGTAATAAAAGGAAAAAGGAGTAAACACGAACACGAATACAAAATAAAATGAAGTCCGAATAATTTCCAAGCTGATGACAATAAATGTGTATAAAACATGCCGATTCAGTGAAGACTGCGAGTGTCAGAAGTTGTGAGAAAAGTTTATTCGAACTTTTAATACGTTTTATTTTACGCTATTCCATCTTGTAAAAAAGAACAGGCACACCGATTTCTGAGGAGTATAGCCTTTTGATTTTTTTAAATTTTGTTTTTTTTTACAATTTCAATATGCTGCAAATATATCTCGTAAATATAATTGAGAGGAGGTACCAGTAAAATTATTGCTTTCTATATGATCAACATATTCAGCGCTACTGTCGATCCGGTCTACTTTTACCGAACGCAAACTGAACCAGTATTTCCATTAGGAATTTTGTTTCCCAATTTTAAAATTAAGAATCTCATCTGTATTATATATATGTATACATTGTTTACTCGGTTCTTGTTATAATATTAGCTGCAGATAGTAATAGTACTCACGATGAAAATGATTAGTGTTGCGAGTAGTTTTATGAGATGTTAAGATTGTTTACTTTGAAGCTGCAACTTTATAGCTTTCTATTCCTAGTAGATTCGGTCCAGCAGCATCTAAACACAAATATATTAAAAGTCGCTCCATGGCAATTAGTAGAGATCAACAAGACGTCTCGTAGATAGTAGATGGCTCAGTTAATTAGTTATAATATGATAGCCGCATTGGCATTATAGTAGCGAAATAGTAAACTTGGAGCGTAAAGTACCCGACTGGGATACCCGTTTTGTAAGTTATTACAATGCCGTTTCACCGAGACAACGGGCGACGTCGTAAAATCAATTACGAGACCATCTAGCGTTTTGCTTGCATTTCGAAGTAAGTTTGCCGCTGTCAGATTAGGGAAGCTGTAAATTATGAGTTTACGGTGGCAACGTTGTTGTTCTTATCTCTCTAGGTATTTCCGGTACATGCTACGAATAGATTTTCTCTACATTTATATTCAATTTCATAGCGTTTATGCTCTAGTTTGGTACAGTTTGTGAGGTGCATGACATAACCCCTCTATAAGGGAAAGAGAGAGAAAAAACAGAGATCATTATGGAATATTAAATATAAAGTCGATTAGGCTCAATGGTTAAAATCACATAAAGTTCATTGCATAGTATCAGCGATATACTAACCCGCTACCATTTTTCCCGGTCTCTTTATAATGTAGGAAATTCTATAGTAGTAGGTGAAACACCACGAAAAGCGCGCCACCGTTGTACGCGTCTGTAGAAGCATTAACTGGCATTAATGCTGCTCAGATCATTCCTTAAAGTCGAAAGGAAGAAAGATTGGATTTCTCCAAGTGAAAATTCCGGGCGATCCCTTTTTCGAAAGTATAGAATCGTATATTGTGTAGTGGTACAGTGTGTGTGGAGGCTTGGTTACGTATGTGATCGACTGGGTACAACGACGCATGGAGGTTAGGTTACTCGAGACCTATCAGTTAACCGAATAGTGGCTGATTATCCTCGGGTGGGGTGGCCCGTGCAAAAGGTTAGGTGGGTCGACGCCAGTCAACGCCAGTACATGAAGAAGAAGAAGGTTGAGTTGAGAGTCTGTGGATGGTTGTGACCGCGGCGGCAGTGGAAGTAGTGTCAGTGGCGACGGTGCGGACCAGGACGACAAAGAAGTATAGCGTCGGTGTGGCCAGGGCGACGACGAGGGACAGGAAGGACGTGAAGCATTAGAGGACGAACGTGTTCAAGAGAGAGAAAGGGATAGACGCTCGTCGTGCTACAGTGGTAGTGAATGGAACGCGGCCTCGCGGCCCAGCGTAGTACGACGCTCTTTGGGCTCGAGGAGCACCAATGGCCGGCCGGGATCGACGGTCACGTGATGTGCGTGTTGAACCAGCAGAACATTGCAAATGACAAGACGCGTAGGGCATTGTCGGACTGCTTGTGAATCCGTGGGCCGGCCCGTGCGAGTGAGTATCGAGGTAAACTGTGCGAAAGGACTCGTCGCGAGCGCGCGTCAAGCCGCGTTCTGTGCCTCGCGCGCTACCGCGCTCCACGACACCCGTTTCCTACTACGAAGGCCGCATCTGTCTACATGACAAAATGTCGGGGTCGCAGCGGATGCGAAAGTCCTCGCCATGCTCCACGTCAAAACAGGGTCCGATGCGGGCCACCTTGCCCGTGAGCTCGCTCCTGCGACAGAGCAGGCAAGGCAGCAATCTCAGGAAGAGCAACAGCAACAGTCCCACCGTATCGCCGACGAACGCGAACGCGTGGCGGGCCCGCATTTCCCCGGAGACTTCGGCCTCCTCGGGCCAGCGGAGTCCCGGCTCTCTCTCCTACAAAGGTATCTTCGAGTTTATGTATTCCTACCTCTCCTGCTCTGTTATCATGACTTTCATTTAGTGTTATTCAATGCCTTGTGCTCTGATTCTGAGTTTCAATTATGGACAGCAGGTTAAGACTGGAATATTATTATAGAGAATAGGAGAGCTCCTTGGCTAGATCGTGGATGTCTCTGTAGATCATAGGGATAGATGTTTGTTTATGGGTTTTTCGTTATTGTTGAGAAACTCTGGTTTATGTTGATCTATTTCTATTGTGATATTTTAATAATATCTGTTCTCTTGGGCAATACTTGGATTATCGAACTTACTTGAATTTGAGTCTCATGATCTATATTCAATGACACTTTCAGATTAACACTTTTATTATGTTTACTCAAATGGATGTGTCAAATTGACACTACACAGCTTATCATCGATTAAAAAATTGGCTAGTGAAAAATGCAAAGCTTCAAAACAAAGAAAGAGAGTTATTATGTTTAATATCATGCATATGATATAATCACTCAATTTCTTACATAATGTAAATATTTGTTTTATTTATCTAAACAGTTTTCTTTTAGATTGTATCATTTTCTTTTTCAATCCTTCAAGTTCCATTTCTTTAGTTGCATCTCCAAGAAATTAAAATACATATAACTGATTGTTATACATTATATTTCTATTTTCATTTTATTTAAAATCCATACTGGTACTGAAAACCCTTTTTAAAACTCAATATTTTTTAATCAGATTTCTTTTCAATATCTGAAGAGAATATTGGAAACATATTTTTGCTACTCTGCTCTTCATAATTTTTCACGTATAGATGTCAGACTGCACAATAGATGAATACTAAAATTATTACACCCAAAGTCTAAGAATGATGGTAAGATTGTACAAAAAGTCATAATGTTAAATTGATATATATACATTTTCTAGATTATACATACTCAATATATCTTATTAAAAAAATTAAATGTTCACTGTCTCTCAGCTTTTGTAGCACGTTAACACCACATAATATAATTCCATAATATAATATTTACGAGCACTACAACATTCAGTATATATTAATTGTAACTCACCAGGTAACCGAATACATATTTTTAGTTCGGTTCCATTTTACATTTGTATCTATGCAAAGTATTTCAATTCGTTTCCTTTATCATTAATCGTATGCTCCAAATTACTACCCACTATGCTTTATCAATCTGGAAACCGAAAACATAACTTTTTGGGTCGGTTCTAGTCCTATTAAAGCAAACAAAAGAGTAAAATAATAGCCAAAAATGCCAGAGTACGTACATCCACTCATAAACACATAGCATTCTCACTCTTACGACCTGACGCTTGTATAGAAAATTCAACATGCGTTCATAAAACATACGGTATACCATATGTTCTTTCATTGAAATGTATTTTCTTTCTTCTAGCCAAATCAAAAACACTGAGCGGCCGCTGTAGCGAGAGCTTGAGTGGAAGTCAAAATATTCGCCGAACGGCATCACTGGACACAATATACTTGAAGGGACAATGGCCACGTGATTCTTACTACATTCATGCCAGTTTACTCCTAGTGGATAAATCAACTCAGGTAAACAAAATTCATCGTGTACTTTTAAATGAAATATCATTAAGTTACCCTGAAATTTCGACTATCGTATTTGCATACGATATACCTATTTCGATAAGTTATCATTAACAGAGGACAATAACCTTTTTGTAGACTGAAGAGTGGTCCAATGAACCGCGGAAGATGCATACCCGCCATCCACCAGAACAAACGCCTACCGACGAGAAGCTGGAGAAATACATAAGGCATCGGTACGTATAAACCTTGTTCTACGCTTAAATATATTAATCTGTTATTAGTATACGGCCTAGTCGTACAGATGGTTTATGTAATTTCAGTCTCACGTGAGATAGCAGTAAAAAAACTCGTACTGCGACTTAGTAAACATTTAAAGAATACATAACTCTAGTTCATTATTTATAAAAATCGAGATGGCTGAACGGCAACTTGTTTGCCTTGTATACATAATCGTATAACTTGCATTAACAATTATATTCGGGCATGTTACAGATTACAACGCACCAACAAAGAAGGCACCAGTAGTAGAGAAAGGACTGCTGTATTTGGACTTATAATGCAGAGTGGAGCTCCTCCTGCTCTACCTGGTGATCACACAGTACTCTTACCCAGTATCGCTTCACAAACCCCAATGCGTAAGCTATATCGTGAGAATTATTTAGTCGTTTATCAATCTGCACCGATCAATCAATCTAATTGAGTCGGCGTTATTTATCTATCCACAGACGGCCAATTCAGTTTGAGTACAAAAGCGAGTCCTATGAACATACCGGTGAAACCCATGAGGCCCCCTATGCGTTCCTCCATCGAATCACTCAATCAGGAAATAGAGCGACTCGTGCTGAAGTCAGCAACCAATACCAGCGACTCGGATCATCCTGTCGAGGACAAGGTTGATAATAAATGATTCTCCTTATCATTCGTTCACACTTTGAGTATAATGAATAGACATGAACTGTGTGTTAAAAATATATTACAGTACGCAAGATATCGCGAGCAGACGACGCCCGATGGACACCGAGCACCTCTGGCTGATCTCCTGAGGGCCACCCGAAGTGTCAATACCCAAACTCCAGCCACTGACCTTCCATCCAGTTCGTATTCTTCAGGTAATCCAATGGCTTCAAGCATTCCTTTTCCAATAGACGCTCAGAATCTTCGCGGATCGCAGTATAACGTTTACAAGGATATATCGATCTTTAAAGTTTTATCTCATCGAGATGTCCATGTGACAATAATCTTCCTCGTAAATTCTCATTACAATATAATTCAAATCCGGAACACCTTAACGTTATCCCTGCGATAACCATGAACCAATCAACAAATTTTAATCGACCATGAATTATTTAATCGATAACACCGCGTCTTGTCGCTCATCTAATAACAGACTAACAGTGGTGTGTGCCTGTTGCCAAAACAGGCCCCCCGTCTAGGAATTCTGAGTCTCCGCTGATCCCTGGTCTTATGGATGCCTCTCGTCCACCTAGCGATCTCCCACAAGGTTGGCTCCCCCACAAGAACCAAACTATCTTTTTGTGACATATTACTCTTTGACTTTGACTCCTTGTCTTTATTTCATCAGATATTTTTCTCTGTCATCAATCTATATCTTTGCCTCTCTCTGTCGATACTCCATCATGTATTTATTTTTCTGTCATTTCTCTTGCTCGTGGCATTTTGTCGTTCCTATCTTTCAGAATGAACATCCCATCGTTTCTCTTCTTCTTTTTTCTTCTTCTTTTCTTTTTACCTTTACGCATGGGCATGAGACATCTTGCTACTGAAGATACATATGTATATTTATCATCACCCCTCGATATCCTATGGCGATATTGGGGTGGCTGATTTTATAACTAAATAATCAAAAGGTCAAGAGAATCCATATTTCGGTACGGTCACAGTGACCTTTTTTTTTACTATCTTATGATCTCTCTCGGTCTACTGAATAGTGTATGTAAAAGAATAACGAAAAATAACGATGCAAGAGTGCGATATCGCCGGCAAGTGAAAATTAAAATCCACGGCTAGGTGCATACGAATATTGGACGATTAATAAACGGTCGTGCATGCTACCTTGCGTGTACAGATTATTTTATTATTTATTCTCATGAACTGCAGTTTAACGTCTGCATGCTTTACACTGTTTCACGATAAACGTCCTGTGTGATATAAATGTTGATAGATACACGTTTATAGAAAATAGTGACGGTATGTGCAGTTGACCAGCGGGTAAGAATCTATACACAGCAGATGGAATTTAATAGATTCATGTACACATTACTTGTATAATAATCGGATGCCATCGTTAATGATACGTAATATTTATTTTCACTTACCATCTAACTGGCGCACGTTCAATCTCTCGTTGCGTTTGGAAATTGCGTGAAAGATGGCCGAGCCAAACTCACGTCCCTACAATTACTGTAATACCCGGACCATCTCTTTGGATGAGCCAAATTTTTCGCTATCTCAAGTAAACACCAGTAACGAGGATACGTGCGCAAATGCAGAGAAAATATACTTTGAAATACCAGTGAGCTTACATCGGCTTTCATGAATACAAGACCAGACATCGTTGACGTTACTTTTAAATACGGAGACACTTTCACTCACAATTCATTGCCAGGCAAAAATGTACGTGTGACAAAATAATTAATTGCAGTTATCCTTTTTATCGTACGAGTAGCTTACAATAGTGTCGCCAAGGTAAAGGAATTCTTTGCGAAATTCGTAAAAAGCAGCATCGAGTCTCTAGTATCGAAATACGATGTGCGCTTGTTTGTTACGTATCTCTTGGCGAATTATTATTTTCTTCTTTTTTTATTTGCGATGCTTCATCTGCAATCGTTATACGCTAAGTGTGTTGGGCATGCCGTTATTGGTTCTCATATAAAAATAATACAGTGTAACGACGTTTAACTGTCACTTCAAATACGACAGTCCTTCAGAATTGAATTTTGGCAGAGCCAATGATCCAATGATCCAATTATTGAGTGACATGGCTGCATTGTGCATATTGACCTTTGAACGTGTGCCATATCCTACTGCAAGGTTTATTTTTTTTATAAATAGTTCAGCCCTGCAAGTTCCTTGCGTTATGTATTCTTGCAAGTATTGCATCGATGGCGTGTCTGGGATCAGAATGTATTTATGGTACTCGCAAAGCCTTCGCGACGACATATCGTAATCGCGTTGGTTATCAGAAATAGAAATGATAACCCTGTACGCTCTTTCAGGAATGTACAGGTGTGAACTATGCGGGTCAGAACCCGCGAAGGCTGTGCGCAGCATGAAAGGAAGTTTGACTTATTAGCGCAACCAACATTATCCATTGGCCGTTGCTTCTGTATCCGAGCTCTTGATACCTGCTGTTTTCGTTAACCCTAATAATTTTACTTTTCATAGGCGGAAGCCGTGGCTCTACGCCGGAACAGGAAAGGGAAGGACGTCTGGGCACATCTCCTCACATCAATAGGTTCCTAGCCAGGGAACCGCCCGATGGCTGTGAGAAAGTCAATCTCAAGTTTGTCGAGGATGGCAGGTAATGGCATTAACGACTCAATATACTTCTTTACTAGCAGTAACGAAGCCAGTGTTGGCTGTGAGAATGTCAGTGGCACAGTGCGAATGACTAAGTATGGTAAAATCATTTGGGATTAAATTAAAAAAAGAATAAATAAATAAATTTTTTATTGAGAATCAGTGGTAAAAAAATGAAACTAAGGACCTCACGTCAGGAACCATGGAAGCTTCTTCTTTGTCGTTGTCTCTGCATGAGAATTCTCCGCGCTCTTTGGGGTAACAATTATTCACAGTTCAAGATTTGAAAACTTTTATGCAAAGTGCCTGTGGCTTTTGACCGAGGTTGTTTGGACGATGGATGCGAGTGCATGCGTGGATTTTGTTGCGTTATTTAAAGGAGAATACCTTTTTCGTGTGTATAGGCGACCCATGGTAGACTTGAGCAAACTAGACTATTGCCCAAAGCCGTGCGTAGGATTCCAGTTAAAGCCAAGCTTGGGATCAGCGTTCCTGCCATTGCAACAGCCGGCCAGTCCGACAATGGTTGCCAGTGCATCACCCTCTTCGCACACGACACCACCTACACCACCTCCAAACCCATAGTCCTCCTGCATCCTTCAATCGACGGCGTGAGACGCGTAAAGGGAAAAGAAAAGAAAAAAAAAACATAAAAGATACAAAAAAAAATATTACTACGAACGAAAGAAAGGAATGATAACCGCGTCTCCCTTTTACGAATCGTTTATGTTCCACTCTATCTTTCTTGACTCAGTTTTCTTTTTCTACTTTCTTTACCTTTTCTTTTTTCTTCGTTCCTGTGTCTCTCTCCGCTGTATGCCACGTATTACGTACCACACGGGACACACGATCGCACGCGTAAATGTTATCTTTATTATTTTTATTCTTTTGTGTGTGTGTGTGTGTGTGTGTGTGTGTGTGTGTGTGTGTGTGTGTAAATGTCTACTTTTTCGTCCGAAGCAAACCTCATGGCTGGAAAGTGGATTAACTGTGACTTGGAATACAATGGTATATATGTATGTATGTATACATATAGGTACGCCGAAAAAAATGTAAAGTTACCGAATTGATAACAGCAGCAGCTCCCAATGCAAATCGTTGCGCTTTCGTCAAGGCGAGGATACGTTTAATTAATGGAGGAACAAGAGGTGACGAAGAGGATGATAACAAAATGAAAATGGAGGGAACACAAGATTACCGTGATAAGGATGTGGATGAAATTGATTATGATACCGAGGACTGTGGCGTTTCGGTCGGCGATTTTAACGAGGATCGTACGGACCGATAAATGAAGACGGTTACGAGGACGAAGGAGAAAGAAGAGGATTTGATAATCGCATCGATAAAAAGTATTTGAAAGAGGGAACCTGAGCTCCGTTAATATTTGAAACAATAAATAATGAATACGAGGAACAATAATTTGTGATAACTGAAAACAACGTTTAGGAATAAACATTGTGTTCTACAGGGAAAAAGACTAATGAAATTGTGTATTCTAAATTTAGTGCTAAATCGTGCTAAAACAACTTTAGTTTTGTATACAGGGATAAATATTCAAAATGATGAAAAGTATTAAATTTGAATGTCGGCGGACGACGACGACGATAATGACGGTTACAAAGTGTAAAGCAAAAGAGAAAAAAAAGAAATTAAACGAGGGCGAAATTATACGGATCCGTACGTGGTTTACCTAATTACTAGGTATATAACATAAGGTACCCGTCTATAATGTTTTCAATTAAGCTTTTACCATTTTCAATAATCCAACCTCATAGCGTTAACGACCACTTGTTAGAATTTTTTTTTTATCGTTTTGTATTATTACTTGTATGCTAACAACAAATATTTACTAATTACTGCTCTGTTGTGAGAGG